GCATGTCGAACAGACTTTTCCACAACCGGCGTTGCTGGCGCTGACTTTCCGGACTTAGTCCGTATCCGAGATCTTCCATCAGTCTCTTGGTGGCAGCCTTCTCAGCGGGGGTGAATCCATCGTCAGGTCCTTTCGACCTTGGCAATGTAGTCGGTTCGATACGTTTTGCTCCTTTCAAAATAATATCCCAGTATACTGTCTCATTGAACTGAGTCTGGAGATTCCTGCCTGCTGCAGCCGCATGATCTCTTTTCACCACCTCAACTGCTTGGTAATATTCAAGTTCGGATATACCCTCCGCGTACTGCTGGACCTTGGAAGGATCCGTAGTTAATCTCACCTTCACCGTCAGGGGGCCATGTAGTCCGATTGCAGTATTAAGCCTGACACAGTTCACTAATACCGTCGTCACCACCTTTAATGCATAACCAGAATCCAGCCATGGCGGAAGACGTCTAACGAGAGGTACATCTGAAGATAAATCACCCGGGCTCTTGATGTTCGCCGACGTCTACATGAAGTAGTCTTTAGAAATGCGTACGGGCCGCCAGGATAATGGCTGTCAGATGAGTGATCACTCACAGCTGAAGGCTTTTGAGGTATCGGCTGGGATTCTGCCTCGATTTGGGATGATGTTGCGACAGTAACTTCGTCTGCGGGTAGGTCATCGGGCGTAGCAGTAGAAGCAATCGCCCGATCATCGTATTTTTTGTTGGCTTCCACAGCCTCCTCGGTCACTAGTATACGACCTCCAAGATTGTCCTTTGTCTTAGCCAGTTCGTCCGATATCTGTTCTTCGCCGTTGGTGCCGTCGCCTAATAAATGACGTTGTTAGTTTGATCAAACCCCTAATCGTGCATGTTTGGTTTTTACGCCCCAACCGCAGTTGTTCTTATCCTTCAAAGTCGCTTTATGCCTTCTCTTCTTCCGAGTGGGTGCGCATAGACCCTTGACATCTGGTAAACCCCTCTTTCCGCTATCTAGGAGCCGATAAGATCCTCGAATTCCGTGAGACGTAGCGGGGTGTTCTTGGGAGAGAGAACCAACGAGACGTGAGAAGGGCGTTTCTTTTTCATTTATTCCGGCCTCAAGTAGAGTTTCACGGACAGGAATGCATATTAGCCAGGGATCGCACTGTAAAAGCAAGCCACCTACTCACCTATACTGGACAGCTCGGTGATAAGTGGGTCTATCCGCTCACTCTTCTTAATCCCGAAAAGCGCGAATATCTCGTCGAATTTTTTGCTTGTTAGGGCGTAAATTGCTGCCTCCATGGTTCCTGACGGGGCAGCCCTACCATAGTAACGCTGCGGTTGATTTATAATGGCGCGGTGTCGGGATCTTCCAGGGGTTTCCATAGAGACGTTTTATGGCCGGTACTCCAAGGTGGAGAAAGGAGAACGCTAAGCCAATGATCGTGGACACAGATTCACCATGGGTCTCGATCACGGAGCGATGTTCAATACCCTCCGCTCATCAAACGAATGGCGTATGACAGAAGCTCTTTCGCAATGTGCGAACGCTGCTCTAGGCTCGCATAGCCCTCTGAAATGCCTTGCCCGTTAATAGGACAATGGCCTGCGGGCTTTTGATAATCTCTCTATCAGCCAATAGGCGTGTTTGCCCAGGTAAATAATTAAGAGGACAGGGCCGGTTAGTCAGCCGAGATCAATGGAAGATCCCCGGGGACGAGAGCTGCGTCGTGGTTTCGGGCGACAGTCAAAAAAAAGAGCAGTTCAAGTCCATTAACCATTCCCTCCCCTTGTGAGTCTGAATCTGCCTTCCTTGACCGAGATAGGGGTCGGCACGAATACAAATCCGTAGGATTTTGAGATATTCGCATTCGCATTCGTAATTTGCAAATCTCTACGAATATTCGTATTCGCAGTGGCCGATATTCGTCGAATATATTCGTAAATTTGCCAAGACATTATTAGTAATCATAACGTCCAATGAGAGGCATCGCCACTCATTTTGTTTACTTTGTCGCGACGCGACAGGAGAACTAATACTTTCTATGTCTGCATATGGTGGACTAGGCTCTTTAAGATGTCTGACAATGAATCTGATGCCCCCCAAAGCGGCGGCTCCAGCTACTTATCTAGCAATGTGCCATCGCGTCCGCAACGCTCTCAGAGAATCGACTACCATGTTTTGAACGGTGGAAGCGACGAGGAGGCAGACGTTGAAGATCGGGCCATAAAGAAACCACGACTCAATCCACCATCGGATCGCTCTGAATCAGTGGGTCCCGAAGAGTCTGCTAGCCAAGTTTATCTGAATTTGCCTACTCCATCAGAATCCCATCAGCAAGGGAACTCCACTAGAAGCCTCTCTGAGGCTCTCCAGTCTTACAAATCGGTCAGCAAATCCGGCATTAAGCCACAGAATCAATGGCTCTGGAGTCAATTCGATGTCAAACCACTTCCAGGAAAACTATGGCGGCCTAAGCGGAGCAGACGGCTACTAGAGGACCGAGAAATCCAATGTACACAGTGTGGTTGGAAAACCACAGACTCTGCAAGAGCAACTTCTACGACCAACATGAAGGCTCATCTAGCCAAACATAATCTTGGCGAAAAAATAAGGGAGGGAGATCAAGATAAGGATTCCAGTATAGCAAAGCAACTATCTATTGCTTCTATATTCCGACACAAAATTGAACAGGACGTGAGGGACCTCTTGGAGAGGAACCTTCTTCGGTGGATTGTGAGAGATGACATAGCTTTCACAGCCATTGAGTCTCCTGCATTTCAACAGATCTTTATGGACTTGCCAGATGCTCCGCTTCCATTTAGTTCCTCTCGCACTATTGCTCGACGCATTGACTCGGAATTCGACCAGTGTCGTACCCAACTAATTGATGAACTTGCGAGAACTTGCTCAACAATTGCTCTTTCTCTAGATGTGTGGACCAGCAAGAATCATAAGTCCATATTAGGAGTTATTGGCCACTGGTTAACCCCAAACTTTGAATATCAGGAACGAGTCCTGGAGTTTCGTGAGATTTCTGGGTCACACAGTGGAGAGAATATGGCAGAACTGCTTCAGAGTATGCTTTCTGAGCTTCAACTGGAGGACAAGTTACTTACCATCACCGCCGATAATGCCTCGAACAATGAAACATTAGCATCTGAACTCTATTTTAACCTTGCGGAGAAATATACTTCAGATAGCTTCGACCCCTCATGCAGTGGACGTCTAAGATTTCTGGGCATTGATAGCTATATCCGTTGTCTAGCTCATGTTCTCAATCTTATCGTGAGTGATATTCTCTCGGCAATGAAATCTGGAGACCATAGATCCGCCGCAGAAGCCTGTGACCTATTACAGGAAAACCAGAAAATAGGACAACACTCTGCACTGGCTCGGCTTCGGATTATGGCACTCTGGATATCCAGAACACCCCAGCGACGACAGCAATGGAAAGTGGTATGCCAATCAAATGGGTTGAAGGACAAGTTTATTAAATATAATGTTAAAACACGCTGGAACTCCACATACCGTATGATCCAAGACGCCTTCCATGCCAGGCCACAGATCAAGAAGTGGATAGAACATCAGAGCCAGTTCCCACCATTTTCCTCTGAAGACTGGTCTCAGTTACAACAGCTTGACCTGATTCTCTCCAAGTTTGATGAGTTCACCTTGCTCGTTTCTCGGCGACAATCCCAAATCAGTCTAGCGATTCCAATCTACTATGAATTGCATGACATGCTTGAAGATGCAGCCTCTGCACAAGGCGAATTTTCAGGTATCAGTTCAGATATAGCCGCCGCTATATCTGCAGGCATGAAGAAGTACAAGAAATATTATGAGCTTATGGACTCTCAAGATGCATATTACATAGCGCTTATTCTTGATCCGCGTTTCAAGACACTGTTACTGGAAAAGGAGCTTGGACAAGTAACAGCGCCAAAGATTATCCAGACAGTCAAGGAGACCTTACACACGCAATACCCGTCCAAGCAGTCACCAGATTTGCCAGCCACAAAAATGGACCAGGGTACCATGCGACAGAACCTCGAGGCTCGTGTTTTGCAGAAACTGCAACCTCAGGTACTCCAACGGTCAGATATAGATCATTATTTCAAGGAGGGTGTGGTGACAGTCGATGAATCCGTCACGAAACAGGAGGACTGGCTATTTTCTTGGTGGAATATGCACAAGGATGAGTACCCGCGGATGGCAGCTGCAGCAAGGGACTATCTTGCTATTCCAGCAGCCGAAGTAGCGGTAGAGAGGTTGTTTAGCCGTGGCAGAGATCTGATCGGCTTGCGACGGCATTCCTTGAATGGAGGAACCATGAGAAAGCTCACTCTGTTAAGAGATATATATCTCTCTGAGGAGAGCAAGCAACAGTCCAGATAGAGCCGGCTAGAACTTGCCTCGCAGGATACCGAGTGAGTTTAAGGGGCTTCATTAAACGATGATTTTAGCGGACAGTCAGAGATTCCCTAAACTAGATACGTAGACTCAGTTGGAGGTCACTGAACATAGTCTTTGAGAGTCATATGCCTGCCACGTGACTAGAATTACGAATATTCGACGAATAATGGAAAAATTATTCGCATTCGCATTCGTAATGCAAAATTTCTGCGAATGCGAATATTCGTTACGAATATTCGTAACGAATGCGAATGTATTCGTTATTCGTGCCGACCCCTAGACCGAGAACACACCAGTAGTTCACGGGTCGGAAGACCTCAAGCGCAGAAGGTTGAACACTTTGACTTAGGATCTACCAGGCATCATTAATAGTCGGGGTGTGTCGAGGCAGTATGGAAGCCGCCGACGGGTGCCAAGGACGTCAAGAAGCCCGGGTTAAGCGGCACGAAGCGCTCCAGCATCCTAGCATGTTGGACACAAGTCCTGAGGATGGCTCAACAATAAACAGAATCAGTCTGTCACTCGTGATATGTCGTTGGTGTATTATTGCGCAGAAGCTCTTTCTTGGATGTAAGCCGACTGTGCTGCTTGGGTACGGGACTGGTACACGAGAGCATAGGGCCCGTCAACCAGCCAAAATCAACTGCCATACCCCATGGTAGGAGCCGGTCTCGTTGACCAAGGTAGGGCGGCGCCCAGAATCAATAGGTATAATTCTCCATATTCACTCTCAAGCACGCCTTGGCATCAATTCTAGTATATTCTCTCCATGACTGGAGATATTAGAACCGCACGGTCAGGGACCTGAAGCCCAGAGTGCAGCCAGGAAACAAAATCTAGGACTTTCGGGTGCTCAAAACCGGAGCACTTGACAATGAACGCCAGATGCATGGATATTTGCCCAGGTCATTAACCAGATGGGGGCAGTGCTTCTTGTCCTTTGACCGTTCAACCCTGCCTAACCTTTCATCCGTAGCTTAACATGTGGGGCGATTTTTTGGTGGTTCCCATGACTACCTGTTTATGTGGTGGTCAACGTAATCCATTTGTTTATGACGTAACCAAACGGCGCCGGCTATTTCATTTGTTGATCATCTCTTCGCGAGTTGACCAGGCAAAATATAGGCAAATCTTGCTGGTCAACATGAGGTGAACGGTCAACTCGACAAGGAATGGGCAAAGCCTGAGGTCCTCAGATAGTTGATGGTGTTGAACTCCCATAGATTGTCTCTCTGCTGAAGACCACGATTTTGGTATGGTCCGAAAACCATGGCTCTCCTAACTCATATATCTAAACCATCCCCAACTAGAACCCTGCTTTAGATGATAACGCAAACGAAGAAATATTTGTGATTCTCTACATCATCTTGCTGCATTTCTAATAGTATTCGCGATATGGCATTAGAGACCCCTCTCCATGAGAACAAGAAAACGGGAGCCCCTTCAAGGAAGGCATTCCGGCAAATGAGAGAACGGCGAAGGGAAGGCATCATTAAAAAGGCCTATGAGTATAGCAAGTTATGCGAAGCGGATGTTTGTCTAGGCATCCGATTACGGGGTTCTGGTCGGGTGTACACCTTCTTAGCTGATCCGAGTGGGTTTTGGTCCTCCTTTGAGTCACAATTGGTAGGATTCCTTTCCAGTGGGCAGTGCAAGACACTAATCCCCTACAGGAAAAGTACTATCCTACGCCCATTCGGAAAACAACCGAGGACATTCTACGATCGCGTCATACCCGGCACGGCCGCCAAGAGTCGGAGACATCTGAAGGCAACATCGAATCTACATAGGACTTGTATATGATTCAGAAGGATGAAACATGGCCCGAGTCTGATGATAGGATAAAATCCAATAGCTATCCACACGAGTTGGAACGGTGATTGAA